TTATTGTTGGAGCTCTTCGAGTTAAGATTTGAATGTATCGGTCTTGTCTCCGTGTGGTGCAGCGATACCGTCCTCCATGGCGCTCAGCCACGGTACCAGTGCTTCGGTATCGTGTCCAAAGTCGACTGATAACACTCTGACTTGTATTCAGAGCTAAAGCCACAGTACGTTGCCGGGAAACAGCTTCTATCATTCCCACGGCTCTGAGCATTTCTTCCCTGCTTAAATGACGTCGCCGCTCCATAATAACGTTGGTTTTAATCAGTAGTAGGGAAACAGTAGCACTAATAATGTCTTCAATGCGTTGTATGTTTTTATAGGGAAAATATTGACAGCTGATTTTCATCTTTTACTCGAATTTGATTCACAGTTCCTGATTCAAATTATGAAATGCACCAAAAAGGATCCATATTTTTTTTTTATTTTTTTTTTTTATAGATAGGTCCGACAAATGACTCCACCCCACCTGATGTTAAGTGAAGGTGAAGTCCAGACGTGACGATAGCTGATACAGCAGTTTTACCTGCCACACCAGCCATCTTCACCCTGCCGGCCTGCATGTTGCTTCTTCACGCCTCTTTTAAAGGATCCCAGGTTGTAAGAGGGAGGGAACACGTGAGCGGGCAGAGCATTCCATTTACGGATAGTGCGACAAAGAAATGAGTCACCAAATTTCTTTGTACGCGTTGGAATTGTGGCCACAGTTAGACGATGACAACGTAGGCCAGCGCGCGTGGTCCTCTGAAGGAAAGGAGAAGGTGGGATAAGAGAGAATAACTCCTCAGAACACTCGCCGTGGTACAGACGATAGAACGCGCTTAGTGACGCCACGTCACGGCGTAATTGAAGAGGCTCAAGGTGTTTAGTCACCTCCTCATCGCCTATGATGCGGATCGCGCGTCGCTGTAACCTATCCAAAGCATCGAGCAAGTACTTGGCGGAGCCATCCCAGAGGTGCGAGCAATATTCCACGCAGGACCGCACTTGCGTTTTGTACAACAAGCACAGTTGATCGGGCGTGAAAAAACGCCGCACCTTGTTCAGGACTCCGAGTTTGCGTGAAGCTGTTTTGATCACGGTTTCGATGTAGTTCTTTGGATTCAGGTCTGAGCGAACTTCCATACCGAGCATGGAAATGTTGCTCTGCAGCGGTAGTGTTGTGCCCTGAAGAGATGGAAGGGGAAGGAATGACGATGTTTTTGCCGTGAAGGCGCAAGCCTGAGTTTTTTTGGCATTGAACTCAACCAAGTTCCTGGTACCCCCATTCGGAAATGTGGTCCAAAGCCTGATTGAGTTCAATGACAAGATTCTCGCGTTTCTCCTTGGTTACCGCCAGCCCAGCCGCTGCTTGTCCGAGATACCCCGCATGCACTGTACTATCGTCTGCATAGCAATGAATATTCCCAAGAGGAATTAAGTCATTGATATGCAGCAGAAAGAGAGTGGGGGATAGGACGGAGCCCTGGGGAACGCCGGCATTCACTGACATGAACCGCGAACTGCTACCATCCGTAAGGACACGAATTCTACGCTCATGCAGGAAGTCAGCTACCCAAGAACAGAACTGGGCTGGCAGACCGTATGCCGGAAGCTTGGAGAGAAGGCTTTTGTGCCAGACCCTGTCAAAAGCCTTGGCAATGTCAAGGCTGATAGCCAACGACTCGCCACGCTTGTCGATAGCCTCACCCCAGATATGAGTTAAGTACGCTAGAAGATCACCCGTCGATCGTTTCGGTCTAAAACCATATTGACGATCATTAATCAAGGAGTGATCCTCTAGGTAGCGGGTCAGATGGTTATTAAGGACCTTTTCTAAAACTTTACATAAAACTGAGGTGACTGCTATTGGCCGGTAGTTTGCCGGGTCTGAGCGATCCCCTTTTTTGGGCACCGGTTGCACATTGGCATCTCTCTAAGTCTCCGGCACACGCCCCAAAGAATACGAGCATTGGTACAAGCGCGTGAGCACGGGAGACAACTCCGCTGCACATTTTTTGAGTACTACTGCTGGGATGCCATCAGGTCCACTAGCTTTCCGGACGTCGAGTGATTGCAATTCGGCACGAACCTCGCGCTGCCTGATTTTAATATCAGGCATCGTTGTGCCACAGTGAGGTAATGATGGTGGCAGTGCATTGCAATCATCGATTCGGGAGTTAGCCGCAAAGAGTTTTGCCAGTAAATCGGCTTTCTCCTGCGGCTTATGGGCTAGTGTTCCGTCTGGGCATCTCAGAGGTGGCAGCGAGGGCTCGCAGAAGTTTTTTTGCACGGCCTTGGCCAGACGCCAGTAGCTACGGGAACCCGTAGGATGCGTCATAAGTTCCTGGCCAACACGTGCAACGCGCTGGGCATCCGCTCTAATGTAAGCCTTCTTACAGGCCTTGGAAGCAAAATTGTAGGCTGCTTTGAGTGAATCGACCTCGGGATCCTTGAGAGCGCGACCTCTGATCCAAGCACGATATGCCGCTTGCTTACGCGAAGCAGCTTCAGCACAGTCGTGATTGAACCAGAGGTTACGCGTGCCCTTACTGATGAGATCAGAATGAGGAATATAGTATTCCATACCCATTATAATCTCCTCAGTAATGGCAACGGCACTGGCCGATAGGTCCCTGTCACTGAAGCAGCGCTGCTTCCAAGGGACGGACGCAAAGTAGTCACGTATACCGTCCCAATCTGCCGACCCATAATGCCAGATACGGCGCTTGACCACTGCTGGACGCGGAGGCTTGGCCTGTGGTGCTTTGGCAGATATCAGGCAGTGGTCTGACGAGCCCAGGGGGGCTCTTACCACAACCTGATAGCCCTGTGGATGGGTCGTGAGCAGAAGGTCCAGTAAAGAAGGCGCTTGACTTGGAATATCTGGGATCCTGGTGGGCTGATCAACCAGTTGCTTCAAGTCATGCGTGAGAGCGAATGCGTGAGCAGAGATCCCTGCATGGTCAGTTTTGGAGGAACTTAACCACAATTTGTGGTGAGCATTAAAGTCCCCCAAAAACACCAATTCTGCATTGGGAAATTGTTCCTGCGCGTCATCTGCTGCCCGACTAAGGTGTTCAAAAAGTCGAGTTGTCTCACCATCGCCGGTGTGGGATCTGTAGAGACACACGTAAACTCTGGCCAGGGGGCCAGAGTCGACGTGTACCCCCAGCATGGAGAAGGAGGGATCTTCCAAGCAGCGGAGACGGCGACAACAAACATCCGCCCGAACATACAGGCATACACCGGCTTTCGCTTTGAAGGACTCTTCAAGCACGTAGCCGGGATAATTAAGGTAGCCTGTGTCAGCAGGCGGAAGTATTTGTGTCTCCGTCAGGAACAACAATGCTGGCCGTGCTGTCTCAAGATGGTGGTGGACAGCGTTGAGGTTAGAGTGGAGTCCGCGTATGTTGCAGAACTCGACCTCAAACAGCGTTGAAGGCGTGGGGGTGTGCACCGCTGAACGTCCAAACTTTGTTTTAGGAGCTGCCATTATGGAAGTGAAAAAGAGACGTGAAACGAGTGGACGTTGTCGCGACAAGACCGGGCAAATTAGGGAGGCATGTTTCCCCGAATGATTGCCTGCAGAGGATATACGCCGACCCGCCGGACGGAAGGGCCCCCGCACCCCCCCGGAAGTGGCCGCCGGGACCCCACGCCCCGGTCACCAACCGGCACGACGGTCCACCCCGAGATTATGCGTGACATGATGGGGCAGCCTCGCGAACTGGTTAGGAACGCTCGGGCCCCTGTACTGTGCCACGGGCGGCCAGCGGGACAGCCGTTTCTACGGGTCTCCCTGGCCGGCGGGTCGATGCAGTCCTCCCGGCATCGGTTCCACGGATGCCTAGCCCTGGACCGAATCCGTCGCGACAACCTCCACTCGAGCCCTGGTTGTACGCTGGCTGACCCCGAAACGCGCGACAAGCACTTCACGGGTTTTTCACCATGCGCACGGTGGTAACAAACCAGGCGGGTGTTAGGCACCCTACCACCAGCAGAGCGGATGGAAGCTCCGATATCCCTTAGTCGCCTCTTACGACACCCACGGGAAGAGAAGGGGCGGTGAGTTGTATTCTTTCTCCGTCACCGCACGGATAAAATTTATAAATATAAATTTATAAAATCATAAATTTATTACAAAGCCACATCTCAATCTCAAGAAATCCGCATAAAAATGCTTGATCCCTAGACACTTTTGATGTGTGTATTTAAGAGATACATTTTCACTCTACATTACATTCATGTAACTTTTATTGTTTTTGCAGTGCAGGCCAAAATGGCTCGCAGATGGGACATTTTTTTCCGTCTTATTGCTATATATTGGCCAATTCACTCAACAACTACATAAATTATTATATATATGTAATTATCATATATGAGCTATATTACTGTTAAGTTTCATTAAAATCCATTCAGTATTTTTTAGGTGAAAGAGTAACAAAGATCCATACAAACGTAAGATTGAAATTAAAAGCGCAAGTGGTTAATATACAACTTTAAAGCGTTGTAGATCCTAACCAATCATATAAAATGAAAAATGGTGTTAGGAACCTAAATATGATTTTTGATTATCTAGACAGTGATACCCCACTCGACATATTTTGTCAACTTATTTTTTTTACTTCGTCACAATATGGCGCCTAATGTTGCCCATATTGAATTTTGATTACTATCATATCTTTAGTAGCACTCCCATGATTGAGACGAATCGATTGATGTATGAATCATCAAAATCGGTCCAGGCGTTTGGTCTCTAGTGTGCCACAAAGGAACAAACATACATATATAGACTGTTAAACACATAACCCTGTCAGCGCGTCGCGCTTCGCGCTCTTGCATTGCGCAGCCGGGTAAAAAGCACTATTTGCTCGGTCAAACATCACAGCTGTCGCTGGAAAACAAACTGCTTTTAGATTAACACTGAGTACAGTCAAAGTTGAAAAAGAAAAATATAAAGACTTTTTAATTTTGTGTACGTACTTTAATTACCCACACTAATTGCATTAAAATTTTGTTACGAATGTGCTTAATTTAAAATTTTCTGAGTCATTAACTACAGTTAACCCCTACACTGATAAAATCTGTTGACATAAAGAATGGGACACAAAACTACCAATAAGCTAGTATTTTTTAATAAAAAAACAGTTGAACTAAAATTATTTAGTATATTTGTTGCTTTTTTAAATGTACCTATTTGCATCACTAACACTACATATAAGTAAGTTTAATGTACCAAAAACAAAAAAAAAAAAAAACTCGTCGTATGTGTGTAGTAATTTCGAGAGCTTTTTATTTTCCACTACATTATTTTCATGAAACTTTTTATTTCGGACTCCATGAGGCATTTCATAAACATGTACGATCTATCGCATTTGCAGGACTCATCTGTGGACAAAACAAGAAAACTCCTAGCTAGTAAATCAATAAACACTTAGGTGTATAAGCTTAATTTAATACTGTACCCCTCCTAACCCATGGAATCTCAAACCTTAGGCTTAGGCATTTCAGTTGAGGAGGTAACTGCGACCTTAGAAAAATAACACTAGGTATCGCACACTAGACTGCTAAAGGTAGTGTTATTTCACTATGGTCTTTCGAAGATCGCAGTTACCTACCCAGATTTTCCATTTTATGTGAAAAAACGCCGGTATACCAGTCTTTTAACAGCGCTGATGTGACTAGGAAGTCACATCAGCGCTGCGTCAGGAGTCCCATAAGCTGTAATGCATCATCAATACCCCAAGCACGAACTTTCAAGGATTCGTATTGGTATTTATTCATTATTTGGAAGGCCAACAACTAATTTAATACAAAAAATATAACTATAGTAGAGTCTGTGCGGAAAGAGAATGGGATTTAGATTGGAGGGCGCTGTAGTGTTTTCTACCGTATTTGTAAGGTTTTACCCCTTTTAGACATGATTAAATACAAAAAACCGCAAGAAATCACAACAACAAACAAATCCATATCAATACAAAACTTTGAAGTTTTACAGATTGATTGCCAAATAAAAATCTTAATTTAGTTCCGTTTTTCGCCACGCCCATTCTCTTTCCGCACAGACTCTAGTAACAAATAGCCTATTATATTAGGCCCTCGCAGATAACAACAGATAGAACGTGACAAATGCACGCATACAACAATATTCACTGCAATACAATAGTTACATATTTTTCAAAATTCAACGTTAGTCAAAAAACATATTGGAAATAATACGCCTCGCCGAAACCTGGCTATATAGTGTCAAAAAGATCAAAGTTGGTCTGGTATCAGAGTATATTGAAATTATTACAAGCACGTGAGAGGTAAACATTCTGCCGATAGTTAGAAGACGCTGGAGGGATATATAAAATTGGGTTCGATCTAAGGCGCTTTACTGGAACTCTAAGGTTAATTTTGGACACAATTTCCGGGCAATCCATGGCACAAGATTCTATCTTCATCAGAAACATCAGATTCGCAATCTCTCTACGTTCTTCCAATGGGAGAAGATAGTCCTTCTCGAATCCACTTTTCACCCTCGATTCTCTTTTCATCTTCCAATACCTTTTCACCTATCAATCCCCACTATCACCCACCTATCCCCTATTATCACCCATCAATCTACACTATCACCCTCCAATCACTTATTACCACCCAGCATCCACCAATCCTCTTATCACCCTCTATTACTAAACTGATTACTCACTACGGTCGACGGCGCACGCGGTTGCCATATTTTGGATGCCGTCCATCTGCTCCTTGATATTCTGTGACGCGAACACCTGAGAGGTTACGTCGGGGATGAACTTTCCATCTTCAGTAGTCACCCCGGTCTTCATCAACACACAACGAATGTAGCACTACAATTGAACAAAACATTAAACTCCTTTTTTGAATAGTCTTATAAAAACATAACATTGTTTACTAGGACAAAAGATTACAGGCCCGTGGTAAAAATTGATAGGTCATTTGAACCACTAGAAGACCTATTTAGAAAGATAGTATTTTCATTAAATAATATTGAGCACTATGCCGTCATTGGTAAGCTGTCCAACTGAGTGCAGGTAAGCATTCAAAAGTACAGATAGAGGGATTACATTTTGGTCATAAATTTTTGTACGGCATTCTTACCATCGATAGATTCATGAAAAATAATAAGAAAACACGTAGTGCCGTACAAAAATAGAGCCCCACATGGCCGTAAAAATTTTTGATTTTCCGATGATTTTCAGGGTAAATTTGGTCATTTGGTTCCGTACAGTTTCAATACCTCTTCTATAATGCGATTCAAATAAGAATAGGAAAGCCTCCATCTGTCAAATGTCGCTTGAAAAGTACAGTTTGCAAAAAAATCTCGGAACACTTTTTTAGCACTCAGCTAATTCTAGAATAAAAATCAAACATTTTTAAACAAACAATAACAAATATTGATAAATTATTAATATTGATTGAAATTTTTTTTATTTATTGAGCTTTGGCTATGAATGTTAGATAACCTAAATCGTCAACCAAATATCACTTTATGTTGCGTTCAGAAACTCGATTTAATACTTTCGTTTACTTAGGATGCATGTTCGTATGTGACCTGCATGATTATTCATAACTACTCCGGCGGTAATGCAGAGATGAGCGGAATTGAAGAGCTAGATTCTGATTAATGTTTTTTCTCATACAGTCTTAATAAAGAAATATTATTAAAAATCGGTTGTTTTTTCTCTCAATCTTAGTAAATTAATTTTATTAAAAATATCTGATGTTTTTTCTTACATAGTTAGTCTAAGTAAATAAGTTTTATTAAATAGAAACTTTTTTTTGCTCCCTCTACCTATTTGGTTTGAATTGACAGCTATGACGTCAAAATATGGCGCCCAGTCGTTCCTATTCTTAATTGAATCGCATTATAATTCACTTTTTCGCAATGCCGTACAAAAATCTTGCGACATGGGGGAAAAATCGAGGGTTGGGTTAGTAAGTTACGTAAGTGCTAGCGCAACCTTGGGATTTCAGAAAGTAATCCATGGACCATGCAGGTAATAACTTTTTTCAAATTTTAAATTGAAACTTAAAATCATTTGTTCAGCCTAGCCTGTTATAAGGGAAGACCTTTTACTGTGCAAAACCGACAGGAAACTCAACTCATCCTCAGCCTATTAATGTCCCCACTGCTGGGGCACAGGCCTTCCCTAAGGATGGAATAGGGAGATTAGACCATTACCCACCACGCGAGCCCAGTGCGGATTGGCGGGTACTAACGACTGCAGATGCAGCGGGACCAACGGCTTAACGTGCCTTCCGAAGCACAGAGGAATTCGAGATAGAAGATTTTTGTTCACCCATCCAATGACCGATCACTGCGAAAGTTGCTTAACTTCAACGATCGCAGCCGAACGCGCTAACCACCTGCGCCATCGGGCTCCTCAAAACTCAACTATTGGACTGAAATTGGGAAGCACTATGCATCTTTCAGTGGTCTTCGAATAGATGGCGAAAACTTTTTAAAGAATTAAAAAGCAGAGTAATTGTAATGATGTACTTTTTCATATTTCCCTTGGCAATTTTCTTCGCATAATTTACAGTCACGACAGTGGGTTCGATTCCGATCTGAGGTAATCGATAAAATTAAGTTTTTAAGTCTCTTCTTTATAATTTTCTAATAACTTAATTTTCTTACCTTTGGTGTCTTATCACTTTCATCCGGAAAACTGCCGCTCTCATTAAGTGACTCTAAGTAAGCTGAAATAAATAAGTTACTTTCCTTTAGAAATGCTACACTGTATCCAAGTTTAATACCATGTATAATAGGAACATAAGTTCAAGACTCGGTGTCTTTTATATCGTGACTGGACTTGCCCGCGTATACTTGAAATAAAAAAAATAGACAATCATGAAATGATTATATTTTTATTTTTAAGCATTAAATGCGTATGCTGCTAGATGTTTAAATCTAAAGAAAATTTGGGTTACCTACAATGCGAACAGATGGCGCTGCCTTGCAGCCTAAGAATTGCTAGGGAAAAATCGACACGGCCATCAGCACCACGCTAGCATAATGGTCAGTGCATTCGCGTGCATAGCGAAGGGTGCGGGTTCGAGTCCCGTCTGCTGCCTGGTCTGCGTGGAATTTTTTAGCCATTAAATGATTTTTTATTAGTAACTAGCGGTCGCCCGCGACTTCGTACGCGTGGAGTTAATTAGAAATAAAGGTTCACTGCTCGTTCCCCGTAGGTGATAGAGCGATATGTAGTCTATATGTTGACCCGACTTCTTAATAATATTCATGCCAAATTTGAAGTAAATCCATGCAGTACTTTTTGAGTTTATCCCGGACATACATACAAACAAACAGACAAAAATTCTAAAAACTAGGTTTGTGGCTTCGGTATCGATTGTAGATCACACCCCACGTATTCTTTTAAAAAAACATTCAATGTACAGTTTTGACTTTCCTACCATTTTATTGTATATATAGATATTAAAATTTTCACTTGCATTCTGGTTTCAAAAAAGCACAAAAACTTTATTTTCTGTCAAAAGAATCATGCCCTCATCCTTCAGTTAATAAAGATGTTTGTTTTGACTGTTGAGAATTACCTGATTGTTAGCAGTCGGTAAAGATCCGTATTTACTTACAAGTTTCGATACGAAATGTTTCATTGCATTCACCCATGATGGCCATGAGATCGGGATTCGTATCGGTTTCTTCTGGAGTCTTTATGATGTCCTGCTCACTCCCTGATGTCATCAAATCTCTTGCATTATCTTTATCTACTTTTTCGGTGGTGGTCGTTGAATTGACGTACGTGAAGGCAACGGCGCACAAAGTTACGACGAAAATCGCCAAAGTCTGCATTTTCATGTTGTCCCAGTATTTTTTGTATCACTTACAATGATAAATGGTGTTTGCATATACTTATATGCTCGATATTTCAAATAGATTGACAGAGATTGTAAACATTGATTAAATTTTCATAGGCTTATACAGTAACGTACATATACATACGCTAAGTACTTACTCGATGCCTTGGATAGGTTGCAGCGCCGCGCTGCCTGCATCATTCGCGATGAAGAAGTAACTAAAAAACTCGAGTCTCTACAATCACGCCGCGATGTGGCATCATTAAGCGCGTTATTCCGAATATACCACGCGAGTGTTCTGAGGAGTTATCCTCCCTTATCCCTCCATCAACTTTTCTTCAGAGGACCACGCGCGCTGGCCTATGTTGTCACCGACTTACTGTGGCCACTATTCCTACACGAACAAAGAAATTTGGTGACTCATTTTTTTGTCGTAGTACTCGCAAGTGGAATTCTTTGCCCTCGCACGTGTTATTCCTTTCTACAATCTGGGGTCCTTTAAGAGAGGCGTGAAGCAGCATTTTTGTAGGCCGGAAGATGAGGATGGTAGGTATGACAGTTTATAACTGCTGTTTTAGTTATTTTCGCGTTTGGCCTCTATCACCACTTAACATCAGGTGGGTCATTTGCCTACCTGGTTATAAAAAAATACAAATATCTTTTCCAGTATACTGGGAATTATTTTCTTTTGATTCTTGATGCAAATCTGAAATGTTGTGTGTTTTGTTGTTAAATATGCAGATGAACAACGTACAATGCACAGTCTGATCAGGCAAAAAGGTGTTCCAGTATCAAGGCCGTCTTTAACCTATTGGAGGCCCTGGGCATATTAGGATAATGGGGCCCCTAAGACTTTGATATGGATTATGACTTGAAAAGGAGCGAGTCATACGGACGAGTGTACTACTGATGATTTTTCTTTAAAATGTGTATGTGCTTAGAATACCATAATTTATCTTAGCATGCTGATGTAGGAAAGCCTAATTTTTGGGCGAGAGTAGAATAGCTTCGCTTATGTAAAAGCTAGTAAGTTGGTATTGTAGTCAGTCATTTAGGTTCGATTTCAACAAATTATATAAGTTTTTTTGGTAATAAATATTGGTGATCGTTTAGTGATCTAACAGAAACTAGGGACTTTGTATTTGATCTGAGGGGGCCCCTATCGATCGCGGGGCCCTGGGCACTTGCCCAACGTGCCCACTGGGAAAGAGGGGTCTGTCCAGTATAGTATACTAATGAACAGTAAAAGTATATTTATATAAGCACAGAACAATGTCCTGTGGATACTGTTTGTCTTTTTATTATGAGAGTTATTTTCCAAAGTTAATTCTGTATATCATTCTTTTAATCAAAAGGTTTTCTATGCCTGTAATTGATACATTCAGTTTTGTGGGCGGTTATTCCGGCTATCAGTAAACACGTTTGCATGTGATTTTTTTCCCATCAACAGTTGTTCTGAAAATTGCTTCCTCATTCAACGAGATCGCAATAATTTTCCGTTCGAACCTTGGAAAATTACCCTATTTATCTAATGTGTATTTACTATTACCTCCGGCTTCTATTAACATGATTGTAATGTAAACATTTAAATCTTTGTCAGTTCGAATCAGTTAAGACCATAATAGAGGGGGACTGAGCGACACTTTTCATAAAATTAATAAAACGGAAAAGGAGGAATGATGCAGCTAGGGTTGCCAACTATACTGTTGAAAACAGTATTGTATTGTTTTTCACTGATACTTTTACTGTTTTTACTGATTGATTACTGATATTTCTTTCCTGACCTTCACGCACACTGCAGCAGATTCAAAGTTCAGTGTGTAACGGTGAGTGTGAAAAAGTTGGTCAGCTAGATTTAAAATTACCATATTATTTGGTTTAGGGCTGTTTAGTTATATATTATTTGGGAACATATCGTACAAAAAGGTCAGTCAATACACTAAAGTTGCAAAATCCAAGGTACTAGGGCGAAAATAACAAAACAAAATTAATCGTTAGCTTTTCTTTCCAAAACAATACCTAGAATTTGATTATTAAGTACATTTCAAACATTAAGAGTGGAGTGGAAGTTAGCCGGGATTCCACCACTCCCATCTTCACTCTGAACTTTGAAAGTGTGACAGTGTGAAGATCTGAGTGTTAATGTAGTATAGTTGTGCTTTTCAGGATTGAAATGCCTGTGCGAGAAGCAGTCAAAATATATCTTTAAAACATTCTTTTAAGCCAGTTGGCAACCCTGGATGCAGCCCATCACTACCTGCGTACGATCTATGAGTCACACGCAGGCTGGCTTCATTTTTTTATTACTTATCTGCCTGGTTTTACTATACAGTTCGACATGGGAATTCTCAGTCCATTCTCTATGTGATTGTAGTATGACTTTAAACTTAATGAGCCTGAAAGAAGAAAGTAACTATTTACTACATTAAATAATTACATTCGGAAAATGCAATTTCGGGATTGCACGATGTTGCAGATGTCCTTGAATGGCGGTGATCCCTTACCACCATCAGGTGAGCCACTCTTACGTTTATCCACGATATAATTAAAAATAAATCTGTACAATATGGCACAAACATTTAGATCCCTTTAATAAAGAAATCATACAGTTGTCAGATTTGTAGGTCGCCTTCATTGAGTAAAAAAATGCAAGTTCCTACATCTGTTCTGCTCCTAAAAAGGAGAAAGTTAATGAAGCTTAACTATTTGCTACCTTTTAAATTTTGAGTGGTTTACTAATCTTTAAAATAGATTTGTTTACCCATGGCCCAGTTCGAAAGAAAGCTGATTGAAACTAAAAAATATTTATAAGAATTTGATAGTAAAACAAATTCATAAGAAGAATTGTCTTCATTATCTTAACATAGGTATTTTCGTGGTCCCTTTGAAGCTAAAGAGTGTGAATGTAAGATAATCAATTTCTTTTCCAAGTATGGAAATATGAAAACGATCACAGAAGTACAAAAAAGAACTTGACGATCGAAAAGAATAAAAACAACAGCATATAATAATGCTTATTGTTTATTATATAGGATACAGTCAAACATTACATGATCATTATTCAGCATATGAAATGCATTGAATTGATTATGCTCTAGTCCGGATGGTAGCTAATAGACGGTCCTTTGCCTTCCATATTAAAATTTGTCATATCGTCTTCTCTCTCGTTCTTATATTCTGTTCCTTTCTCTCTGTATCTATTGCCTTTGCTGTCGAGTTCATCTTTAGCTCCTTCTGCAGTTTCGTTTCTCCTATTACCGTTTGCGTATTGCTGTTGGTCATTGAAATGTTCCTCCTCATTCTTGTAGTGATTTTCCATGTTTTCTCTGTTGTTATTGTAATTTTCTTCAGCCTCCTTATTGTATTTTTCTTGGCGTTCATTCTGATACTCTTTTTCCTGTTCGTATTTTTCATTATTCTCTTCTCTGTCGTTTTCCCTGTAATTTGAGAATATGTGGATGAATATTCGGCAGTAATTACTTCGGGTCGGCTTTGTCGTTCTTCATTATGTGAGTAGCTACCCTTGATATTTAAGCTCAAAATCGCCAATATATTTGCTTACTCACTGGTCATAGTTATCTTAATGCATTTGTTTTTTAACGTTTTAGTAACAAGAACTGTGTCAAAAAGCTATCGCTTCTATCACTTTTATAATAAAATCGCCTCTCAATAGTGGTTAAATAGTATTCTATTAACCACTATTGAGAGATGATTTTTACGTTAGCCTAGTCGAATCGACACGCTGATCCTATGCAATATAATGCAGAACCGGGAAAGGTATTATAGGTATTAAGGTCATCCAAGTTGCATCATACGTCTCCAATATTTTTTTTTATTGAGCTCAGTTGCGAAGTCATTATATTACAAGAATGTTAAAAATATATATATTTTAATAAATATTGTATTTTAAAAATTTTGTATTTTTTTAATAATGATCATTTGAACATGAGTTGATTTACTTATTTTAGTTTCTTTTTTGTTTCACATTGGTGTCGAATTTGGCATGATTTTGGAAACTTAAAACTAAATTTAACATCAGACTCTCTTTTTCATTCTGTATAGAGAATGACTAGGACACTGTTGTCAAATTTAAGTTTAGGTTTAGAGAATAATGCCAGAAAGAATACCATTATTGAGTTAATACAGTGATTTTCTCACCAACTCTCTTCGAAGCTGTCATACTTCGCCTGTCCCCTGTCCCTCTCTCCCTGCCAATATTCTTCTTCTTCCTGCCGACGGTCATTGAACTCTTTGCTCTGGTCTTCCCAGTCTGCAGAGTAGTTAGGTAACTCCATTTCTACCTTATCCGGCGATCTTGTCCAGCGGTATTTGCATTCAACCACCTGGAATGCTGATTTGAAGAAATATTAAGCCAAAAACTGGACTGATGTGCCTTTTAAAGTTTCTTAAGATATGTGTTTGCATTTTTTTAGATGTTTTCCTTATTCGATCATAACTTAAAAATACCCTAATAGGGTATATTTGTTAATTGGATAAGTATGTTATGTATATATACAACTCATTTGAATTCATATATAAAATTTCATATACAACCGAACAGAATGAATATATACTATTTTTTTTATTGTGTTTGAACGAATTAGTTAGCACAGATTACTAAGATTATAAGTTAGGAAATCCATCAGTTTTGTCAACCGGACACTTTAAACAAAAATCTGAAACAATCGGACCTACTCTTATTTCATGTGGTAGAAAAAAGAAGGATAAAGACTTTTTTTAAAAACCAGCCTCCCTTTAACGTTTTTTTAGCATAAATACTTTGAACAACGCGAAATTCAAAGAGAGGTAGGTTAAAGCGGGGACTACCCGTCTGGGGAAGTAACCTCCACCATTTAGTAGCAGTGCCGTCTTTGACCTATTGGAGGCCCTGGGCATATTAGGATATTGGGGCCCCCATGACCCCCGTTTGGTGATCTAACAAGAACTAGGGACTTTGTATTTGTGATCTGAGGTGCCCACCTATCGATCACGGGGCCCTGGACACTTGCCTAAAGTGCTA